GGAAGACAGGGAGAGAGTGAGGGGGCGAGAGAGAGGGGGAACCAAAAAAAGAGAAATGGAGGGAGGGAGGGAGGGAGAGGAAGAAGAAGGGCGAGAGAAAGAGGCAGACCGACAGACCGACACATAGACATACAGAGACAGAGACAAAGACAGAGACAGAGACACAAACACAGGCTGGGGCAGGGGCAGAGAGGGAGAGAGAGACAGAAACAGAGACAGAGATAGAGATAGACACGCCAGCATAGTGGGGCCACACGCAAATCCAAACAGGACCTCGCCATCCCGGGGGGGGAGGGGGGCGAAGTGCGAAAGTGCCGCCACGTTCGAGGGCTTTTGGGGGAGCTAGCACAGCGGGGCCACACGTAGATCCAAAAAGACCTCGCCATGCCTGGAGTGTTGCGAAGTGTGAAACTGCCGCCACTCCAAGGCTGGTGGGGGAGCCAGCACAGTGAAACCCCACGCAGATCCAAAAAAGACCTCGCCATCCCTGGAGGGGCTGCGAAGTGTGAAACCGTCGCCACTCTTGAAGGCTGCTGGGGGGGGGGGCAACACAATGGGCTGCCACCCAGATGCAAACGGGACCTCGCCATCACTTGGAGCTGAGAAATGTGAAACTGTCACCAGTTTCGAAGGCTGCTAGGCGGGGCAGCTCAGTGGAGCCACGCGCAGATCCAGACGGGCTGCTGGGGGAGCCAGCACAGTGGAGTCCCACACAGATCCCACAAAGACCTCGCCATCCCTGGGGAGCTGCGAAGTGTGAAACTGTCGCCACTTTCGAGGGCTGCTGGGAGGGGCAGCATTGTGAGATCCCACGCAGATCAAAACGGGACTTCGCAATCCCTTGGGGGGGCTGCGAAATATGAAACTGTCGCCACATTCGAGGGTTGCTGGGGGGTGACCACGGTGTGAAACTGTCGCCATTTTCGAATCGGCCACGCACATTTCGCACGATATAGATATCCGCCGTGCGCCGTCTCCCCGCCTTGCGCCGATGGGTTGGGTACGTCGCAGGGTATTTTTTTCCTGGCAACCAGCCCTTGACGTAGGATGTGTTCAGGCTGACCATACTAGCGGCGGCCGTCGTGGACAAGGCGCTGCAGAACGCTGGTAGCTGAGGGAAGAGGGCGACGGAGAACGATGGGCAATGGTGAAGTGAGAAGATCCACGATGGCCGAACAGGCCATTCAAAATCTAATGTCTATATATATATATATATATAACACGAACAAAACAAACAAACAAACAAACAAACAAACAAACAAACAAACAAACAAACAGCAAAAAAAACGATCGCAACACGGCAGCCAGGATGGGAGATGAGGAATATAGGAGGCGACGGAGAGAGAACACCGAAAGCCGCTAACCAACGCTTTGACTAAGCCAGAAAGTATACCTATATGTTTAATTTAAAAAGCCATGTATATAACCTGGCGTCTTCGCCCTATTGCTGCGCATGGGTTTGAAAGACGTCTAGTCTGCCGGAGAGCGTCCGTTGGGGGCTAGTTGCCCACGTGCTTGAAGAAATCCATGCCGATCAGCGGGGGGAGGCGGCTCCGCGCCTTAATCAGCACGCATGAGCCTGCGCGATTACATAACAGCCCCGCGGTGCTGCAGACTCTGCAAAGGCTCCTGGGAACTGCACAGTGGTTTCTGAGGCAGCAGTTTGGAATGTCCTGCCGCAGCAATGCGGCGGTGGATCTCGCACACCTGAGCCTTTTGGACCGATTCCGAACTGTGGCCATAGAAAGGCTGAGCAATGACGTTGAAAAGTGTCTTGATCGTGCGCTCAATGTCGGATACGCGGATTCCGTTCTCTCTGAAGAGCATCTTTGCCCCGTCGCCCATGGACGAAATAAGCTCGTTGGCGAACTGACCGTTGCCCACGAAGGGCCAGCAATCGAAGTCCTTCACGATGGGAATCGGAATCAACGGGATCCCGTTGCGCAGCGCGCTCAGTATCTCGACAATCACGAATGGCCGCACGGGCGTCTCCGCCGAGAGAAGCACCAGCAAATTCTTTGAGCGGTCGATGCGCGACACCAGCGTGCCCACGTCAAACAGCGAGTCCGCTTCCAAGAACGCGGAAACAGGATGCTCTGTATCCCCCTGTGACTCCAGCATCATCTTGACGACGCGCGCGACGACCTAATTGTCCTGCGTGGCGGTACGAGATGAAAGCGGCGTAGTCCTGATCCGCCCGCGCCTGGGGCACGAAGCTGCGCGCCAGGTCACGGGCCGCGAGCCCCGAGGAATACCCTTGCCCCAGGTCGAGCGGAGGCCCCTTCAGCAGCCGCGCCAGGTCGAGGACAGATGCCCACTGGGACGAGGTCGAGGCGCCCGGCTCTACGACGACCCGCTTGGAGTCCAGGATGCTCTTGCAGCAGGCCTCCAGCTGCTGGCGCTTGGGGTTCGGGCAGCACTGCGCTGCCAGGCCGATGACGCTGTCGGACACGTTCTCCGAGAGCATCTCGCGGGCGTTCTGGGCGGCGCCCTGGAAGCCCGAGCCGGCCACCTCGACGGCGGCGACGGGTATTCCCAGCCGCCAGGCTGTAGCAAACTCGCAGATGACCCAGGGCCGATAGGGCGCGGATTTAGTCAAGACCAAGATGAGGCCCTTGCACTCCCTGACGCTGGTCCGCAGCTCAGACTGTCAATAGACGTCGTCGGCGTCGAGGAAGATCCGCAGGGTGCTCCTCCCAAGGCGGTCGCCTTTGGCATCTGAAGTGTAATGAAGATGGAGTACCTGTTTCAACGCGAGCATCAAGTCGGCAAATCGAGCTGGCCTCGTCCATGCCGTGACTCAGACAGCTCACCAGCGGAGCTTGTGCGTCCTCGTCCAAGTCCTTGATCGCCACCTCCCCAGCCGCCACCTGCGCCTCGAGCGTCTGGAAACTCTTCGTGGCGCACGCCGCGAAGTCCACAAGGCCGCGCGCGATCTGCACCGCCAGATCGCCCTGGCGCTCTCGAATCTGCGCGGCATCCTGGGGGCGCCGGCGCATCCACTCCAAGATCAGCGGCGGCTCGCACACCCTCTCGAATTGCTGGCACGCTGCCTCGTCGACGCCTGGTCCAGCGATGCTGTCGCACTTGCCGCCAGCCTGTGCGTTCATGGCGTTCAGCTGGTCTTGCGCAGTCACGGCCGCAGCGGGGCCCGCCTGCACGGCAGCCTTGATGTGCGAAATCACGTCGTCGGTCGTAGTCACGTCCGCGTACAAAAGAAACACGTCCCCTCCCCCTCCCCCTCCCCCCCCCGTTCGAGCGGGAGGCTGTTGTACCCAACGCCCCCCCCCCCCGGGTTCGAACCAGGGGGGGGAGCCTTCCCAGCAACGGCAGGGAGAGGAGCGCTCGTTCGGATGACGGCAGGTGCCCTTTTCTCGAGGGGCCGCACCCCCGAGCAGTGGCACAACACTACCCCTGCACACACAAGCAAGAGCAGCCAAGACGTTTGCGCCACCAGCAGCTCACCTGAATCACCCGCACGTGCAGCAGCGACCGGCAACATTAATTGGAGAGTGCGCTCGGGTTCAGAGCGACCTGAGCTCAGCCAGAGAGAACCAAAACAGTAGGACTGGCAATGAGAAACGGACCGAGCTGCGGACGAGAAGGAAGAGGAGAGAGAGCAGGATGAGGAGGAGGAGGAGGAAAGGGAGGAGGAGGAGGAGGAGGAGGAGGAGGGTGAGGGAGAGGAAGAGGAGGAGGAGAAGGAAGAGGAAGAGGAGGAGGAGGAGAAGGAGGAGGTGGTGGAGTGTCTCAGGCGGGCGGCGCCCGCGAGACGGGGACGAGAGCGGGAGGAGACGCGGGGAGAGCGCCACGACTCGGGCGGTGTGTCCGCATGGGCGCGCGGGCTCTGAGGGCCCACTGCGCCCACCTCTGTGGACGAACACGAGGACAAAGACAAGAGGAGGAGAACGAGAAGAGGAGAAGAACAAGGAGAGGAGGAGAACTAGTGCAGGAGGAGGAGGAGGACGACGACGGCGACGAGAGGAGAACGAGGAGGACGAGGACGAGGACAAGGAGAGGAGAACAAGGGGATGGGGAAATCCTGGCCCCCAGGCGCCGTCAAAACAACTGCGAACGACTCGAAAGCAGCGGGGGGCGCGGGCATTCGGGAGTGCTTCGCGCAGGCGTCCTGGGTCGCGGACGGCAGGCGGCAGGCGGGACACTCCCGAGGGCCCCGACGGGCCTCACAGAAAGCCGAAGGGCGAGGGGAGAAGAGAGGAGGGGAGAGGAGAGGAGACAAGAAGAGAGGAGAGGAGGGGAGAGGAGAGGAGGGGAGAGGAGAGGAGAGGAGAGGAGGGAGGGGAGAGGAGAGAGGAGGGGAGGGGAGGAGAGAGGAGGAAGAGGAGAAGAGAGGAGGGGATGGGTGAGGAGAGGAGAGGAGGGGAGGGGAGAGGAGAGGAGGGGAGGGGGCGGAGGGGAGAGGAGAGGAGGGAGGGGAGGGGACGAGAGGGGACGGCAGGGGAGAGGAGAGGAGAGGAGAGGAGAGGAGAGGAGAGGAGAGGAGACGAGAGGAGAGGAGAGGAGAGGAGAGGAGAGGAGAGGAGAGGAGAGGAGGGTAGCGGAGAGCGGGTGGGATGGAAGGGGAAAACGCGAGCACGAGGGAGGCACACAGGAGAGCGAGGGACCCAAACCCCGTCGAGTTGTTAAAAAAAGCACGGCGGGAGGTCTTTTCGCTACTTGTTCGGCCTCTGGGGGCCCTGACCGGGCCCCGGGACCGTCAAGAAACGACTCAAGACGAAAAACCGGTCCCGGGGAAGGGGTCCAAACCTCGGGGGGTCGACATTGTGAACAAATCAAACGTCGGGGGTCTGGGGCGCTGGAGCACCAGGGCTAAGCATACAGGAGGCGAGAAGCCGCCCGGGTTCCTTCTGCAGGCGGTTCCTGAACTCCACCCCGGACAGCGAGTCCATGCCGGACTCCAGCAGCTCGTCGTCCGCCTGCAGGTCTTCGTTGCCCGTCACCTCCACGGGCCCGCCCCGCCCGCGCGCCCCACCCGCCCGTCCCTCTCACCTGCCTCGCTCCTGCCCCCCCACTCCCCCCCCCGCCTCCCGCTGCGGGCGCCCCCCCCCCCCGGGGAGGGAGCTCAGGGAGAGGGAAGCGCGAGGGGGGGCCAGAAGAGCCAAGGCCAGGGGCTGCGACGGAGGCCAGAGATCAGCACGAGGCCTGACTTGGAGGAACGGAACCCGGATCCCCAACGGAATGCTTTCTTCATAACGCCGATCCTTCAGAGGTCTCGACCCAGTCCCAGGAACCGGGTTTTTCTTCCCGAATCGGTTTTGGACGGCCCAGAGACCTGGTAAGGGCCACCAGAGTCCGAAAATTGCCAAGAATCTCCCGTCGCATGTATTCATGAGTTGAGCTGGGATGGGCGCGGGGGTTGCTGAGAGGATAGGGGAGAGATCAGTGGACGCCAAAGGGGTTATACCTAGCCTAACCTAGCTTATAAGTAGGTTACACATGCCCCAAGTGGCTTTAGGGGGATTAGACAACTCCGCTAAGTGGGCGGAGCCCACTTAGCCTGGACCGCAATCCCCCCCCCCTCAAGCCACTTGGGACATTAGCAACCCACGAATGAGCTAGGTCAGGCCAGATACAACCCACCTTGGCATCCATTGATAGCCCCCCTTTCCCCTTAGCAACCCCCCGCACCCATCCCAGAGGGGGTCTGGGAACGATAACCTGTACCGCTACTCCTCGGACCTCTCGCGGAGCGCGTTCTCCGAGGACATCGAGGTGAACCCGACGGTGGCAACCCACGAACGAGCTAGGTCAGGCCTGATACCCTGGCATCCACTGATAGCCCCCCTTTCCCCTGAGCAACCCCCGCGCCCATCCCAGCACTCGAGGAGCCCCGGTGGCCTCCTTGGCCAGGCCCACCACCGCCTCCCGCACGGCCGCGGCGCGCTCCTCGGGCGGCAGCGCCAGCAGCGCCCCGACCCCGAGGGCGCCGATGGCCTCCTCGGAGGGCCCGGCGGCCCTCCGCGTCTCCGCGTCCAGGCTGGCCAGGAAGGGCGGGGCGCTGCCTGGAGGGAAGGTGTGCGAGGCGGGGATTTATCCACATCCACCGCCTGGGAACCGACGTCCTGGTGCCCCAGCGGGCGGTGGGTACGGTATGTGAGCCCCTGGGGGCCCGAATAGTGTCCATATCCGCCGCCTGCCGAGGCTCCGAAAACTGACCCTCCAGGCGGTGGTCATGTATAGGTTCCCGCCTCGGAAGGTAAGCGAGCTCTTCGGCGCTCTTATTTGGGGGGGCAAGTTCTGTGTTTCTGCGACAGCAACCTGCTTGCACACATTAACTGCGCAAGCCCCAACGTATAGTTCTGTGGCAGCTCATGGGACCCTTCCATGCCCTCTTGCCGGGACTTGCGAATCAATGCTAACTGGCGCAAATCGACGCTAATCGACGCGAGTCGACGTTAATCGACGCTGAATCGGTGCTGGATCGGTGCTTCTCATCGACTACCACACGCTAGCGCACGGTAATGCACTCCAAAGACAGACGAGGACATGCAAAACGTCCATGAAACACCACCGAAAAAGAAGACCATGACTGAGATCTGGGCGTTGCGATTTGTCACCCAGGGCGATGTTGCGGGGCTTCGGGCCCAGGGACCCTCACGGATCGATCTGGCTCGAGAAATGCCGCAGGAAGATGGGCTCCAGGGCTTCGGTCGAGGTTCCGATGTTGCAGTGTGTTCGAGATGCCCGATCTCAGGGATGACCGAGACTGGACGAGAAAACGTCGGTGTCTGTGTTGGCCATCGTCCATCTTGGCCATCGTCAAGTCGTGGACCATCCTCACGATTCTGCGACGGCCAGCACGACCATGGCCATGATCGGCGTCGACAAGATCTCCTCCTCCTCCGACTCCTCATCGTCCTCCTCCTCCCCCTCCTCCTCCTCCTCCTCCTCCTCCTCCTCCTCCTCCTCCTCCTTCTCCCCTCCTCCTCCTCCCCCTCCTCCTCCCTCCTCCTCCTCCTCCTCCTCCTCCTCACCCTCCTCCTCCTCCTCCTCCTCCTCCTCCTCCGCGGCGTCGTGGTCGTGGCCATCATATGCTTCCTCCCTCGACTGCCGTAGACGGTCGGCAGGAACCGGTCCCAGCGCACGTGCGCTGCCCCGACCTCGCGCAGCGGCGCATGAGAGAGAGAGAGAGCAAGCAAGCAAGCAAGACAACAACCAGAGACAGCAACAACAACAACACCAACAGCAGCAACAACAACAGCAACAACAGCAACAACAGCATCAGCAGCAACAACAACAGCAACAACAACAACAACGATGACAACAACAACAACAACCATAGCAACAACAACACATACTACTACGACTACTACTACCACCACCACCACCTACAACTACTACTGATACTACTACTACTACTACGACTACTACTACTACTACTACTACTACTACTACTACTACTACTACTACTACTACTACTACTATTACCACTACCAATACCACTACCGCTACCACTACCATTACGACTACTACTAGTAC